CAGATCCTCCTGTATCCTAAGCCTGTTTTCTGGAGTGCTGGCTATTCCTGCCAGCTTGGTGTCGTCTGCAAATTTGATGAGTTCCCCATCTATCCCCTTGTCCAGATCATTGATGAAGATGTTGACGAGCACTGAACCCAGAACACCCATAGGGCACCCCACCACACACTTCCTTCCATGTAGATGCAGTTCCATTGAGGACCACACGCTGAGTACGGCCAGTCAGCCAGCTACGAATCCATCTAGTGGTGATGCTGTCTAACCCACATTTTTCTATCTTATCAAGTAGTAAGTTGTGATCTACTTTATCAAATGCCTTTCTGAAGTCCAAGTAAATTATATCCACAGCATTCCTCTGATCCACTAATTTTGTCACTTGATCAAAGAATGCAATAAGATTTGTCTGGCATGATCTGTTTTTGACAAACCCATGTTGGCTTTTAGTAATGACTTTGTTTGCCTCTAGGTGTTCGCTGATTCGTTGTTTGATTATTTTTTCCAGAATCTTCCCAGGTATTGAAGTCAGGCTGATAGGTCTGTAATTTCCTGGATCCATTTTTTTTTCTTTTTTGAAGATGGGAACTACATCAGCTCTTTTCCAGTCCTCTGGTAGTTCCCCAGTGCTCCAGGATCTTTGAAAAATACAGTTCAGTGGTTCTGAGATCACATCTGCTGGTTCCTTGAGAACCTTGGGGTGTAATCCATCTGGTCCTGGTGATTTGAACTCGCCTAGGCTGGACAGGTGCTCACTTATCATTTTCTTGCCTATCTTAACGTGTTTCTATACTGTTTTTTATGGCACTATTTTTGATAGGTTGGTCTGTTTTTTTCCCTTTGTGTAAAGACAGATGCAAAAAACGAGTTAAATAGTTCTGCTTTCTCCCTATTGCTAGTCACCTTCTTACCACTTTCACCCACTAATGGACCAATCATTTCCTTCACTTTTTTCTTGTTGTTTACATGTTGAAAGAAGCTTTTTTTGTTATTTTTGACTTTGGTCGCAAGTCTTAGTTCATTTTGAGCCTTGGCTTTCCTCACCATCTTTGCAGGCTCGGGCTATTTGTTGATATTCTGATTTAGTTATGTGCCCCTCTTTCCACTTTCTATACTTGTCATTTTTATCTTTTAATTTGTCAGAGAGTTCTTTATGCAGCCATGCTGGTTTCTTTTGAGAGCTGTTATTTTTCCTCTTTGTTGGTATTGAGCTAGACTGGGCTTCTATTATCTTGCTTTTCAAAATTTCCCAAGCTTCTTGCGTTGTTTTCCCCTGGAAGATTCTCATCCATGGAATCCTTCCCAAGCCCTCTCTAAGTTTATTGAAATTAGCTCTCTTGAAGTCCAAGACTCTAGTTTGACTATGTTCTATTGCTTGTGCTTCCATAATGTTGAATTCCAATATTGCATGATCACTACCTCCCAAGGTTCCTGTGGCTTAAACACCTTCTATCATTTCATCTCTGTTAGTGAGAATTAGATCCAAAATGGCTAATCCCCTAGTTCCCTTCTCTACTTTTTGGGAGACAAAGTTGTCTGTTAGGTTTGTCAGGAATCTGTTTGATCTTCCACTTGGTGCAGAGTTTGTCTTCCAGTTGATGTCAGGGTAATTAAAGTCCCCCATTACTATTGTGATGTGCTTCCTACATACCTTAGTTAGTTGACTAGCAAAAAGTTCATCTATTTCCTCTGTTTGGTTGGTGGCCTATAGTATACACCTATGGCAATGTCATTTTTTCTCCCTTTTATATTGACCCAAATGCATTCAAGACAGTTTTCATCGTTGTTGTGCTCTATTTCTGTGGAGATGTAGTTATTTCTTATATAGAGAGCAACTCCAACTCCTCTTTTATTTGATCTGTTTCTTTTAAATAATTTAAATCTCTCTAGCTGTGTGTTCCATTTGTGGGTTTCATCCCACCATGTTTCTGTAATGGCAATAATATCATATCTGCCCTCATTGACCTGAATTTCTAGTTTACCTTGTTTGCTGTTCATACTCTGTGCATTGGTGTATAGACATTTGAGTCCTTTATGACCGACCCTGTGTTTACTTTCTACATAACCTGAGTGGTGCCTGAGTTCCCTATTGTCTTACCATCTAGTTGGTTAGTGCACTTTGTGTGACACTCGTTATTAAAAGTTTGATTTTGCTTGACAGCATGGTTGGTATTTTTGTCTACACACACATCTATGATACATGCACTGATAGCCCTATTGTTTTTAGATTGCCGGGGACAGGGATGCTCTGTATCGATTAACTCACTGTCCCCACTGTTTAGTTTAAATATTCCTCCAGAAAATCTGTGAATTTATAGCCGAGTAATTCAGTCCCTTTCTTTGATGGATGGAAACTATCTCTTTTGTACATTTTTTCATGGGACCAACTACTGACATCATGACTAATATATCCAAAGCCTTCCCCTTTACATCACTCCTTTAGCCACATATTGAATTGTGCTATACGCTGGCCTTTTCCATTTTGCTCTTTATACACTGGTAAAACCTCTGAAAAAGTTAGCCTACAGCCTATTTTACTAATTTTTGCTAATTAGTTTCCATCCATTGTTTCTTGTCTTACCTTCTGGTGCTTTGGAAAATAAGTTGGCCCCTTCTTCTTTGGGCAGCCCCTCAAATACTGGAACACTGCTATCATCATCATCCTTCTGTTCTCCAGACTATCCATACCCAATTCCTGCAATTGTTCTTCATATGGTTTGGTGCATATGTTTCAGTGCAGAGAAGAGCATCTTAGTTGCTCTTCTCTGCACTTTTTCCAAAGTCTCAACATATTTTTTGTAATGTGGTGACCAAAACTGGATGTAGTATTCCAGATGTGGCCTTACTAAGGATTTATAAAGTGGTACTAATACTTTACTATCTCTCCTAGTGTTGCTAACCCTCAAGTGTGAGCACCCACTGATGCAAAGAGAGTGAAGGACATAATGTTATGTACAGTATAGTGAAGGATAAAGAGATAGCTTTATTGTTGCTTGGACATTGTCACCAGGTGGCGGAAGGACTGTTAATGACAGCATGAATGCTTGCATTTACTCTTTTCATCTGTTTTATTGTAAACTTGGGGCCATAGGATACAGTCTGCATAGAATTGATGATAGCTATTTACTAGATTTTTTTGAGAAGTTGGATTGTTATTTGACGTGATAAGAAAGCTGGCTTTTCAGGATGAATCTGACTTTCACATTAGTTCTCCACTGTTCTCCAGTTCTTCAGGTCCAGCCACACTAGCTGGCTCAGAGCCCTTGGCAATTTGATAGGACATCTTGTGTCTCAAGCAGCAGGCCCATCTCCACAAGCATTGTACTACAAAGGTTCATTTACATTTCTTTTCAGGAAACTCAGGCCAAAAAGGGGCTTCTAAGGCAATGGTGGAATTCAGATATGTGAACAACCAGTTCTCTGTGTAGATGCCACTTACAGAAGTCTGTTTTGGGCCTGGGCAACAAAAAATTAGCTACCAGTTCTGCCGAGGTGGTGCAAACTGGCTGAATCCCACCATTGTTCTAAGGGATGTGTGTGTGTGTGTGTGTGTGTGAGAGAGAGAGAGAGAGAGAGAGAGAGACAGAGAGAGAAACAGAGACAGAGAGAGACAGAGACAGAGACAGAGAGAATGATGCAGAGTAATCAAATGCTATGACACAGCTTTGTTCTATAACAAGCAAATATCAGCATAAGCCATATCTATTTTTTTTCAACACTCTGAAAATAAACAATCTGTTCCAAAGCCTCCTCTATGCAGCTAGTAAATACATGAGACCTTAAATTATTTCTCCAAAATGGCTGGTTAATCTTCATCAGAACAGTTCTAAATATAATAGGATTCTAATATACTTAGCAGGCACTTGTCAAATCTAGCCCTACCCAGTTTGTAAAATGGCTCACATGTAATGTCATCCTCCTTATGTGAGGTACACCCAAAGTTGGATCTGGCTTTTCAACAGTTACTCAGTGTGAACAGACTCTTACTGCCTTCCTTCTGGAATCTCTGTCTGTCCCCAAGTGACATCCTGATTCCACAGTCCATTTGTACAAAGTGCCATCTGCAAAGTTAGTCCTGGTGTCAACAAGTAGAAGCAATGTGAGTCACAAAGCAATTAAGCTCAAGGAATGGCGAAGTGTTGACTGTATTCTGTCCCAAAGACACCAGTGCCAGCTGCTTCACGTGCTAATCTCAAACCATCTTTCTATGTTTGCTGTTCTTAGATGGGGGCTTGTCAGCCTGGGGACAGTCATAAAGCAAGATTAGAAATCCAGAGTAACTAATTGTTTATGACTCACTGTCCTTGGTCTTTGGCCCTAAGAAAGCAGCCCTTCCCTTCGTTTTCCTCGGCTGCCCCCTTGTTGAGATGTCAACAGTCCAAAACAGCCTCACATCCTGAGCTTCAAAACAAAATAAATTGGTTTAAAATGTGACATGAGTGTAACAAAGAATTAAAAGTTTCTTTCATGTGTGTGAAAGCTGCACGTGTATTTTTTTTTTGCAAAAGTAATATTTGCAAAGATTGACAAGAAATGGATTAACATTAATAGAAGCAGATTATGGTCGAGCGCACAATCAGCCAGATGTTTAGATTAGATTTGGCATTTTTATCCACCTACCGAGTCCTTCCAAAATCTGGGATAGCCAGATGTTTTATTTATTTTTATTTATCACATTTATTTATCTCCCCCCCCCCCATGGTTCAAAGTGACTCTGAGCAGCTTGATGTTGTGGTTTGATGGTGTTAAAGGTACATTGTTGCAAGTAAAGCTGCCTTTTGGAATTGACTAATGATAATTTTGTCAATGCAGATGATGTTTACTATTATCATGATTACATTATTATAACACAGTATGCTATGAAGTTACTGACATCATTGCCGAGTGCCTGAAAACAGGTTTAGTTCAAACAAGAGAGGTATTTCTCAGTAATCACACCTAATCAAAATGATTAGTTGATAACTTCCAGAAAATAAAAACAAATAAGAGAATGCATGAATAATTTATTATAGTTCTTTTTATTTTCTGTATATTTAGACCTTATTGATTATTTACAGAGCAAAATTCAACAAAACAATCCAATCTAACTTTTTTATATGCATATAATCTTAAGATTAGGAAACAATTGGAAATAGATCTTCCTTGCACCCGTCCTTTAATATGGAAGAAACAAAGGTTTTGAAAGAAATTTTAATAATAGTAGCTTAATTAAACGAATTCAAAGTGAATTAAATGAAACAGAATGAATTGATATTATATTTCCTATGAAGAATAAATGCATTTATTGTTAGCTTTTAGCATACTAAGCCAAGAAAGGCCCTGTTTATTACTGAAATGAGTATGCTACAAAAATCCTCTGCCTATAGAAACAGAGAAAATGAAACGTTTCAAAGCCATTTAGTAATTCAAGTCTAGTAATTTGTAACATTAAAAATATCCTTTGCCTTACTAAGAGTATTTATTATGCGCTAAATCAGGGGTGTCAAATTTGCAACATCACATGACATGTCGTGACATATCACTTTTTCTCCATTGCCGGCAATGGGATGGGCATGGTTTTGTTTTTGGCATCTGGCCCACGGGCTGGCAGTTAGACACCTCTGCTCTAAATTAAAAAAGGCATATGGCCATATTGTCTCAGCCTAACCCACCTCACAAGGTTGTTGTGGGAAAATAGGCAGAAGTATTATGTACTCTACTTCTAAAAATGGAATATAATTAGTTGTTTAGACAGGATTTGGCATCTTTTTCCACCTCTTGAGTCCTTCTCGATCAAGGACCTAGGATAGGCAGGCCTTGTTGCTTATTCTATTTATTTATTTATTATTTATTTATTCAATTTATATGTCACTCTGACAACTCTGGTCAGCTTGTTTGATGGCATTGTATTGTTATTATTTACTCCTTCCTCACTTCCAGACTTCAAACTAGTATTTTAATGTACTTCATAAAAAAGACTGAAGGATAATAACAAAAATCTGAAAGATTTTTTAAAATTATTTAGGCTTATAAAATTACCTTAAAAGCACATGAAAACAAAACAAACCTGAGCAGGCAGAATGAAGAAACATAAACTTGTTTTTGTTACCAAATACTGCAGATTGTGAAGCTGAGGAAGAAGAGCAAGGCAGTCTACAAGAAGAAAGCAATTAGTTCAAAGCCAAATGTATATCAAGAAGGTAAAAGAAAGTAATCCAATCAGCTACAGGTAATTTTTGACTTATAACCTTCATATGACAAGTATCTGAAGTTACAATGCATTTGGGAAAAGTGATTTATTGTAGGACCTGTCCTTGAATTTATGACCATCACGCCATCCCATGGTCACGTGATCACAATTCAAGCACTTTAGCAACTGGTTTGCATTTATGACAGTTATAGCATCTTGCAGTTGTGTGATTGTGATAATGACTTTCTTGATCACTACTAGTGATCCATACCAGGTTAAGTCATAATGTGGTTTGCTTGTTTAATAATTTAATAATTTTTGTTTCGCTAACAGGTAAACTCTGCCACTGTAGTTTGCCACTACTGTTGTTTGTGTAAACTCAGTCATTATGGTCTGCCATTGGTCCTTGTTCAGCAAACATTGGATTAAGACAATGGGTGAATCCAGCTAATGTATATTTTCTGCATCTCTTTGCACATAATGGTTGCTATAAGTGGACATCAAGCAAAGATGTAAGGGGGGTGGAATAAGTTGATTTATTTTATTTTATTTTTAGAATTCCATTTTGAGGTTATGCCCTCTTCTGTCAACTATAAATCAAACAAAGAAGATGCCCACATCCATTTTAAAGAACTGGTGCAGTTTTCCTACAAGTTTAATTAGAGTAGTGATAGCAGAGCAAGTCAGTGAAAAGTGGAGTCCTGGTTGTATTGATTCATTCTGCTCCTTTCTTCATATAGGGAAATCATGACTGAGTTCCCACATTGTGGGAAGGCATTGTTTTAACTATGTTTCTTAAATAAAACATAGTGGGCCTAGTTGGCACAAAATATTATGCTATAAGGTATATTTACAAACCCCACAATGATTGGATTTACATATATGAAGTGCACCGCAGTCATCTTTACCAGGTAGACCAGACAGAAAACACAACCAGATAAACTAACTCTACTTTATTGTAAAGCTATATAACAGAATCTTGCAAGTCTGAAAGTAAAATTCTCCCAGTCTCCTTTACAGCCTGAAAAACTATGGTGTGTCCCTTCTGAGCTTCTTGCTCCACCCACTAAGGCTATGCTGTTTCTTATCTGACCATTATCTAGACAGCGTCTTTCCACTCATCACCCAATGTCTTTCCCACATACCATTAAAATTGTTGACCATGAAGATGAAGCACTGTGGTCCATACTCAGAGTTCCTGTTTTACAGCCAGAGAAGCTTTAGAGCAGCCTTTAATTAGGACTGCCCCTGATGATATGGGGTTGCAGGTGCCAGAATCCTCACCTTCATAGGAATATAAATCCAGAGGCAATAACAGATAAATCAGAATAGTACTGAAGATGTTACCTAGTTCAGGTAATGAAGAGTCTGCATGTAAACAAGCAAGCTCAGAGAGCATCAAGGCCCCTTCAGATAAATCTCTTGCTAAGTAGAATGGCAATCCAAGCTCTCATCCTCAACACTGAAACACTGTGCAGGAATATGATGCGAGGAACTAGGAAAAACATAGATATTCAAGCTAAGTGTCTCACACCAAGTTAGATTCCTTTGATGTGGAATATATGCATGAATAAAATTTGCAAGAAAACAACGTTGGACTTTGGCATTCTAAGAGGCCCTGTTTTGTGGAAGCTAATAACGGACTTCCTTACCGCTCTTGAGGACGTTGGCTAGTTTTTCACCATCTTGATTGTCATGTTCTTTCCTACCTGTTTCTCTTGCCTACTTAGCCTTTAATATGACTTTAATTCCTAATGGTGTATATAAACTGGGCTAAAACTGGGGCTCAGCTTCTGTCATCTCACCTGGCCTATAATTTGGCTGGGACTGGGCTTGAAATACTTGGCTCCTGCCTTTTTGACAAGGCCTGAGTAATGAACAGAGGTTGACAAAACGTAATTTAATAATTAAACTTGTGAGTCACCTGATTCAATAATTCTGATCCAGATCAGTTGAAGATTCAGATTTTTTTTTCTACGTAGACTGCTTCCTTACTTCTTTTTTCCCAAATGTCCATGTTTCCCCCCATTTAAATACTCTGAGACAATAGCAAGTCTTTTTTCTAATAGCAACAGGCCTATTTGGTTTTAACTTCTAGGATTGAGTTGATTATATTTGTCCAGTAGAGTAGCACATTCAAAAAGCCGTTGGGTTCCAGTGTTGAGAGTCTGATAACTAGTTTGAATCTCAGATAATCCGTATGATTCTGGGTATGTTAGTCTGGAGATGTAATGGAAAGACTGGGTTTAAGGCATAAATTCTTCCTTGATAGTCATTGGTGAGGTGGAAACTAGATTGGTGGTGCTGCTGCAGATGCCGCCTATAGGGCCAGGAGTGCCAACCGCTGGTGGGGTAGGTGTGGTTGTACTGGCAGGCTGCGTTTGCTGCTGCATCTTCTTCTTATTCACTTTCCTCTCCTTTGCTCTACGATTTTGGAACCAGATTTTCACCTGCAGGACAAATGAAGGCAGTAAGATTAAGGAAGATCTTGGGAAACAATTCCTCCTAATCTATAATAGTTTACCGTTAATATGAATGATTAGTGAAGCTGTTACACATTTTCACAGAGGAACAGAATGGACTTTTAGAGAAATATTGTGGAGGGACTGCTTTGCAAATTTCAGAAAAGTATGTCTAGTGAAATATGAGTGTACTTTTACTCATATAATGGTTCAGGAAGCAATTAAAATGAGACTCAAGCAAATGGATCCACCATTCTTCATGCTTATCTAAAAGTCCATTCATTTATTTCCAAATGAATATAAATTTTTGTATGTATAAGATGATATTAAATATCCTGAACATTTACCCTGGCTCAGTTGTGGGATTCAAATACCTGAAGAACTGGTTCTCTGGAAGTCTATGCTGGGTCTGGACCTCTGAGGCCCAGAATGGACTTTGGGAAGACCCACTTCCAGCAGTCCATTCTGGGTCTTGCGAAAAAGGGCTAGGGCTTCAGCCAGTTTGCTGAAGTCAGCAAAATAATTAGCTACCAGTTCTGCTGAACTGATGCAAACTGGCTGAATCCCACCCCTGCCCTGGCAGCTCTGCTTAGTAAGCCTGCATGATTTAAAAAATGGGGTGATGGTTTGCAACTAGAAGAGTCTCTGCAGCGCTCACCTGCCGCTCAGTGAGTCCAAGGGCTGCTGCCAGCTCTGCTTTCCGCCGGATGGTGATGTAGCGACTATAGTGGAATTCCTTCTCCAGTTCCAGTCGCTGGTGGTCTGTATATACAACACGGTATTTGTCTTTTGTTCTGGTTTTGCCTAACAAAAAAAAACAGTTGTAGATGGTGTTAAATACCTAGATATAAAATATGTGAGGCAATTGATGGCCATAATAAAAAGGAAAGATGGCCTGATTGTGAAATAAGAGGAGGTAGGGAAAATCACTGAGAGGAGGGAAGAGAGAAATATAGGACCCAGAATTACTTTACAGCAAGGGAGGGGAAGGAAAAGGGGGGAGAAGAGGGGAGAGGAAGGAGAGGAAAGGAGAGAGAGAGAGAGAGAAATCCTGCAACAATATTTTGTTTTGATAGGGGATACTTGCTTTCTGAAAATTAAGGGCCATACATTTTGTTTTCTTATACATCTCCCTTTCATACTATGATTCAATTAAACCAAAATTAAGCAATTCTGTTTTATAAAAAGTCTTATCAATGAGATTTAAAACTGTTGCATTGTTAAATCTTCATTATTAATAGAGAAGAATTTGCATTCATCCCAGCCTGTTCACTTGCCTGGGGCATGTTTTTATTTCTTTCTCCCTTTATTTGTACCCCCCCCCCCTTTATTATTTTTACAAATAATTCAAGGCAGTAAACATATACAACACACCTTCCTCCTCCTCCTATTTCCCTACTTGAACTCATCGTCTCTTACTTTCTAGTCTGGTGCTTTAACCACTAGACCAACATTCCCCAACTTTTCTAGTTGGTGGAATAAAGGTTGCTATTATGATTGTGTAGAAAATATATAGAAATGTATATATAAAATGAAACTTTGTGACTGGCTACTACATGATGTGGTGAGTGTTTCTAGGAATCTAGGAGTCATCTAGATCAGGGGTCCCCAACCTCCAGTCCATGGACCGATTCCGGGCCACAGCATGACAGCAACCGGTCTGCAAAGCCCCATCCATGAGATGCAGGCAGCACACAAAACTACGCACTGTCCAGTCTGTGGAAAAACCTTTCTCTATGGAACTGGTCCCTGGTGCCCCGAAAATTGGTTGATCTAGATGCTAGATCATCTTTGATCTAGATGCTAATTCTCACATGCTATTTTCCAGTGCTAGCTTCTCCTTATTAATTTTACTTCAATTTTCCTCAAATTTAAAAAAAAACTTTTTAAAGTAATGGACTTTCAAGATGTGGATGACTATTGACACTTCTGACTTTGAGGCTGGAGAAGACTTCTGAGGGTATTGTGGACAGCTAAGGAAACAAACAAATGGATCATCATACAAATCAACTAGATAATCGCTGGCTGAGTGACTTGATCAACACTGACAACTTCTTTATGTAGTTTCCATAACTCCGAGGGATGCAAGCATTTCATAAAGTGTCCTTGTATGCCATCATATTTCCCCAGTGCAATTTTCACAGCAAGACAAATACAAGAACTGTAAAATTTAAGTGAGACAGGAAAAGTAAAGTAATTGAAACAGACTTTGAGTAGGAAGGAGATTTCAAGCAAGAAAAATAAAAGATGCCCAGAAAAGAAAAGAAAATACTCAAGTCATATTAAATGCCTATACTGTCATTCAGTAATGTTTCTACTATACAGCTTGTAAAATATATATAGAAAACAAATCAATCTTCATACATTCTAATTCAAGAGTCAGTTCTTGTTAAAACAATACTAAAATGTTTAGGAAAACTAAGAGGTCTTTGATATACCTGCCTAGGGAGGAAAATTCTACAAATGGGTGCAACAATCATTCATGTTTTGCTTGTTTCCAAAGAGATGTTCCCACTATTGAAGGGCTTCCAATATGTTCCAAGACTCCAATTAATCCTAGCTGCTAGAAATCTGCATTACTCCTGCCAAAAAAACTAATAAATGAAATAGTTATCCCTCTCTGAGACACTCATAATTTACACTGTAATACAAGCTCCGAGAAAATGTTCCATACCACTGAATGGACTTGATTTTTTTGTGTGTATGTCAGGGGTGTCAAACTCACAACGTCACATGATGTGTCGCGACATATCACGATTTTTTTTCCATTGTCGACAATGGGGTGGATGCGGTTTTGGGCGGCAGTTTGACACCCCTGGTGTATGTCAAAGCTGGATTTAAGAGCAACCCCATTCAAAAGCCTGATCCTTCAAGATGAATTAACCCTATGTAGAAAAGAGCAGAAGAGATGTCCCTGGAGCACCTACTCAAAACAAATAAAACTGATAAAATAGCTAAATACACTCATCAATATACTTTGCATGTAGTAAGTCTCAGAATAAATCATGAACATTTTTTATCTAGAAACAACAGGCTGTGGGGGATGGAAAAGACCCTTGACTGGGACCATTGATGTAACATGCTTTTTTTCCATTTAGTAAAGGAACACAAAAGTAGTCCAGCATAATTTACTCTGCCCCAACAGGAAACCTAATTTAGTCACTTTATCAAAGAATGAAATAAGATTGGTTTGGCATGATCTGTTTTTAACAAACCTGTGCTGGTTACTAGTTATAACTTTGTTTGCTTTTAGTTCTTCACAGATCTGTAGTATGTCCATCCTTGTGTTCCATGAACTCTTAGCAGTTTTTGGTATCTTCCATCATGTTAGTCTTTTTGACTGGCTACAAGATTTGTGGGGAAGGAAACTATTTTACAGAGGTTCTCTTTTCTTAGTGGCCACTTTCATTCAATATTAACAGGGAGAGAGAGTCGAAACTACAGCCCCTCACTGGTGGGATACCCTGTGGTTCAACACCCACCCTTCTATTTAAATCTATATAAACCCACTGAGGTCATGTGTTAGTTCAGGGTCAGGTATCATCAGACTGCACAAATTCAGTATTCAATATGAGGCTCCCATTGCACTCACAGTCCACCCAAAGGACAGATGGTAGCTGTGACCAAGAGAGTCTTTGCATAGGTACACCTAGTATATCAGATGTAGCCCGTCTTGGGCTAGGAGGCCTTTCGTGTCATTATTAGACACTATATGAAAGGATTATGTAAGCACAGTGTACATGGGGCTGTTCGTAAGACCTCTCAGAAGTTACAGGTGAGCCAGTATGCAACACAATGGGCAGTGATGGATATATCTTGTTATGCCTATGTGACCATATTGTTCTATGAGCTGCACTGGTTACCAGTTGGCTTTCAAAGTGCTGGTTATCACCTATAAAATCCTTCATGGCATAAGGCCTGGTTCTTTGCAGGATTGCTCGATTCCAGTTGTTTTATCCATCTGGTGCAATAAGGCAGAGTAGATACACTCCATTCTGGGGCCTATCAATTAAGTAGTGTCATTTGTGGGACTGAAGAAAAGTGCCTTCTCTGTTGCAGCAGTGTCTGCCTTCTGAACCAATATCCCCTCCCAGCGATTCATACAGCTCCCACCCTAATGACATACAAGAAGTTATCAAAGACCTGGCCATTCTCCCAGGCTCTGGGTAAAGAAAAGGGGCGTTGTCTTACCTGAACGCCTTTTCTCAGCAGGATGATGTAGAGTCCAAATGGATGGGTTCTATGACGGCCTTCCTGCCTGGCAGACTGGGTAAAAACTTCGGCCACACCCCTTCCTTTGGGCGTGACCCCAGTTTTGACTTAGGCGAGAAACTTTGTTGGAATTAACCTTGCAGCTCTTTATTATATCTTTATTATATCCCTGCCTAGACCTATCCTCTGGGTGGGCTTGGACTCTACATCATCCTGCTGAGAAAAGGCGTTCAGGTAAGACAACGCCCCTTCTCCAGCAGGATGACTGTAGAGTCCAAATGGATGGGACATACCAAAGCCCTCATGTCCCCCTGGGAGGGAATGTCTAGGCTACCGAACTCTGAGCAGATACGACCTGTTGAAGAACTCTTCTGCCAAAAGCCGCGTCTGCTGCTGCTAGGGAGTCTAAACGGTAGTGTCGAATGAAAACCGAAGGTGAGGACCAGGTTGCGGCCCTGCAAATCTCTTCCACCGGAGCTTGCGTTAGCCACGCCGCAGATGTGGCTGCGCTCCGAGTTGAGTGGGCAGTCACCTGAGTGGGTGCTGGCAAATCCTGTGAGACGTAGGCCTGCGCTATGCAGGCTCTGATCCACCTGCCTATGGTGGAAGAAGATACCTTCTTTCCCATAGTTGATGGTTGAAAGGACACAAATAATGCTTCAGTCTTTCGGAAAGCCGAGGTGCGTTTCACGTAGAAACACAGTGCTCTCCGTACGTCTAGCTTGTGCCATCTGTGTTCTAGCTTATGTTTGGGTCTTGGACAGAAATCAGGAAGCGTAAGTTCCTGAGATCTGTGAAAGGTGCTATTTACCTTCGGGATGAAGGTCGGGTCTGGTCTAAGAACGACCCTGTCTTTGAAAAAGGTACACAGATCCTTCCTTACTGACAGAGCTGCTAGTTCTGAAATTCTCCTTGCCGAAGTAATTGCCACAAGGAAAGCTACCTTCAGTGATAGGTGATGGAGTGAGCATGTTTCAAGAGGTTCGAAGGGTGCAGATGTCAAGGCTAGAAGGACCCTAGGCAGGTTCCAGGACGGGTACCTGTGTATGACTGGGGGCTTTGTGTTAGACGCCCCTTTTAAGAAGGCATTAATCGCTGGATGTTGTGCTAGGGAAGTTAAGTTGTCGCAGGAGAGTACGGTTGAGAGGGCCGATATCTGTCTGCGGATGGTATTGACTGACAGGCCCCTATTAAGACCCTCCAATAGGTAGTCTAGGATATTGGGGATAGATACTGCGGTCGGGTCTAGGTGAAGCGAAGCGCACCACCTGCAGAATCCCTTCCATGTAGCGTCGTAAATCCTATTGGTGGACGCCCTTCGTGATGCCTGTATGATCGATATCACCCCTGCAGAATAAGATTGTTTAGTTAAGCTTTGCCGCTCAAATGCCAAGCGGCTAGTTGTAGCCACTGGGGATCTGGGTGTACAAGCTTGCCCTGACTGAGTTTTACCCTGTCCGGGGGAATCCTCCACGGAGGTGATATCGAAAGGTCCACGAGGTCGGCAAACCACGGGCGCCGTGGCCAGTGAGGGGCAATGCAGACCATTTCTGCGCCCTCCAGGATCATCTTGCGTATGGTTGCCGGTATTA